ATGTACATATACATATGTGTATATATATATATATGTGTGTGTGTGTGTGTGACTCAATCGCGGGGCTTCGCTAGAATGCATTCTAGGAGTCCTTGGCCATGCGACTAAAATTGCGTGGGTTTGTCGGGTCTTGATGGAGGTTAGGAATTGAAAGCTTCAGGGTTGTACTAGTTTTCCTGGGGTTCGGAAAGCCCTCAACCCCAGCTCTATACCCGACCCTGGACGCAATACCTATAGTCCCCAAATTGCTTGCGTGTATGGAGCATGCTCCGAATTTCGGGTGGGACAACAGTGCCGCATCGACGGAAGCTTTGACCACTTGAAAGCTCGATGAAAGCATATCACACAGGTCCTTTACTAACAATACTGTTCTTAAGGTTTCAGATGCAGGATTTAAGATATAGGGCTTGGGCCTTACATTGCAATACTGAGCCATGCACCATCCAATTTTTCGTGGCTCCAGAGGCTTTTGCTCTCCCAAACCTGTCGATAGACTGTTCGGAGCATCCTTGAGACCCTTACAGCTCCAACATTTTTTTGAGAAACGCCAGGTCGCTTTCCTTCCCCACAGAAGCGTAACCAAGAGCGGCCCACAATATTTTAGAGAAGAAGCATTGAATCATTTATATAATCCGTGACGCTGGCCATCTGGCGGTGTAGGGTTTAGGGCTTATGGTTTAGGCTTTCGAAAGCCCCTGAGGCTGCTCGACTTCCTTTCATCCCACCAACTCTCACAATCCAGGAGGCCCCTTTAGCCCTGGGCCCTGACCCCCTGAACCGTAAACCCATTACTTAAAGGCCGTCAACCTCTCAACCCCAAACTCTACAGCCTGCCTAAGCCTTGCATCAGCCCCCCCAGGCCTTGAGCCCTACACCTCCTGGAGCTGTAAACCGTAAAGCCTAAGCCTCCCAAAACCTAGAACCCTGAACCTCACGCAATGAACCCTAAACCCTCAAGCTACAACCTGCTCCAATCTCCTTTCCCTAATGATAGAAGCCACCACCCTGCCAAAAATACGTTCCCTTTTTACGCAACGGAATTCTATCAGGGTATCTATTTTTCAGTGGGTTGGGGGGGCTGAATACTAGCCAGTTAGATATTATTAGCCATAGTAGTCTGACTGTTATTCGTATTATGATCATTCTGATCATATTACTTTCATGATTATCCTTGTTATTTACACCCGAAACTCAAACTACTTATGTGTTTTCTCAGGTTCTGAGCTCCCCGGCGCGTGGGGACATTGCCGAGCGGCAGGCTCACTGTGCGTGACGGGGGCTAGGTAGGGAGACGCTCAGGTTTAGGGTTTAGGGTTCAGACTTCGGAGTCTAGGGTTTAGGGTATATAGTTCGGAGCTTAGAGTTCAGGGTTCAGAGCTTTGGGTTTGGGATTCAGAATAACGGGCTGCAACCCCAAAGTAACCTTATTTGACCTTAACTCCCCTCATTCCATCATGCAGCCATGAAGTCACTGGATTGTTCGGCAGGAGGAGCCTTGGCCTCAACTACTTATTTAAGGTTGTGGGACCTAGGGGGTGGGACTTGGGGGGGAGGGTGGAGCCCCCTATGAATTTAGGGTTTAGGGTTCAGTTTTGAGGGTTTGGGGTTTGGGGCTCAAGTTATAAGCAGATGGGAAGCTATATTCCACTATAGCTACTCTGATTTAACAGGTCACAGTAGTGTGTCGTAATCAACATGTAGTAGCCCATGTAATACCCTAAACCCCAAACCATACACCCTGATCTTAATCCTTAAGCCCTTAACCTTAATCCGTAAACCCTTAACCCTTAGCTTAAAGCATAATCCCTAAACCCTTAACCCCTAATCCCTAAAACCTAAGCCCGAATCCCTAAACCTTAGGAAACCTTAATCTCTTTGAAGGAATGCCATAGCCTCAAAAGCTTGCAGCCTTCGAGGCGGCAGCACGGCGGCGCGCCATGGCCAGGGCGCTGTTGGTGCAGGCCTGGTCCCCCGTAGTAAACTTTCTGGGGGGCTTAGTCTGGTTTGCTGTTGAGGAACTTATTTTCAGTTACTATAGAGGGATTTAGGGATTAGGGTTTAGGGATTAGGGTTAAGGGCTATGTTGTCTCCCGATAATGCAGACTCAAATGGAAAAGAACATGGAAAACGAAATGGAAACTGGGGGAATCTTATAGGGAATCAAGAAACTTAGTTTAAGCTACTACATTGGGGAAACCCTATTATTCGCTATATATACACATCATGGTAACTTAATTTAAGTTCCTTAAGAGCAACCCAGTAGTATGGAACAAAGAAATGCATTATTTAGGGATTGTATAGGGATCATGGTCCCTGATTCCCTACTAACCACCAGTAAGTCAAGCATGAGAAGTTGGGACATCAGGATTCAGAGTTTAAGCCTTGGTATTTCGGGGGTTTAGGTCTGATGGGCTTGAGTGTTTAGGTCTGAGGTTCTGGCGGTTTTCGGGTTTAGGGGTAGGGGTCATGGAATCGATAAGGTTTTGCCCGTTTGTATGGCTTTGGTGGGGGCCCCTGCTATTGTTCCAATACTCTGGCGTCTCCTATACATAGAGCATCTAACGGCAATTTAGGGCCCATGACTTGAGGGCTCAGGCGCTATGGAGGGTTCAGGGTTCAAGGGGTGTGAGGGATATGGGTTCAGTACTGCCCCCCCTCAGTAGCAGTTAAACCCTCAATATAGACTGTTACTGGGTAGGGGCGGTACCCAAGATATGGGGCTCCAGGAGCGAGTCTTGGCTTCGAAGTCGTTGGGGAGTTTCTCGTTTCAGTCCCTGAAGAGGGTACCGTCTAGCGTTATAGTCCCCATATATCTCTAGGATTCTTTAGGGCGCCTGCATGTAGAGAAATTCCTGAAACCTCCTCCCTACACCCTCAACACCAAAGCCCT